GACGACATTCCCATCTTCCCCTCTTCTTCGTCTAACCCCCATCTCCTTCGTCTGTGTATGGTTGGGGCTGGCGCAGTCTTCCTGTGTGAAGCGCCAGACCCCTTCACACCATGGAATGAGGATGATGATGTATGTTTGGGGCTGCATTGCAATATTGATTGTTCGGATCATTGGTATCTAAGTCTTCCGCTGTGCTATTTTATACTTTGTATTGAAAGGTCGGTTCTTGTTCTGGTCTGCACCTATACGGTATGCAACAAGGAGGAAGGAAGAGGGGGGGGAAGGGCAATGTGTGCTAATGGGTTGGGAAAACGCACGTAGACTGCCTGTCATCGAGCGATACAAACAGGAAAGCAAGGTTTGTCCACACAAACAGCCTGATAGGAGTCTATGCCTGCTAACAGTGGGCCATCTGTCGAAATACACTGACCGGCACAGACACTGCCGGCACTTGGCAGGTTGCAGAATTCTCGGACTCCCGATGTTTTCTAAGTAGCTTCGGTCCATCAAAGTGCTTCGTTGATTGCTCAAGAATTATGCAAAAAATTGGAACAAAAAAACATCATTTCAATCATTTGCAACAAATTGAAAAAAATGCAATTATGTGAAAGGAATTCGCGTTAGTTGTTCATGAGGAGTGTTGCAGGCAAAAGGTGGAGCAAGATCTTAAGCAACAGCTTCTGTGAAGTTCCGCTGAAATCTGCCGACAGCCTGTTACGTACGAGCCTCGTGCTCCGCCTGTGTTGTGGGAGACCAGACCGCCTGCTGCCTAGCTGTTATATTCCCTGAGGAGACATTAACAACAACTCCACTTTCCAGACGACGTTTCAGAACATAGTGGGGGAAAAGTTGGGAGAACAGAACAGAACCACGGAGACGTCCGCAAAGGGCAACAGGGTCCCATTCGGCGCCGTCAACAGCTCCGCTTTCCCCCGAGAAGAATTGGTGAAAAGATCGGATCGCTGACACCCTCGTAAGAGTGAAGCGGCCAGGCCGAAGCTCGGTGTACAAGCCGCGCCCCTCGTTGTCGACACGTGCGCCGCCGAAGATGACGGAGAAGGTGGAGATTGTCGAAAATGAACCGGAGGAAGTGCACAAGGATGGTCAAAGAGGGGAAGAGAAAGAACAGGAAAGACAAACGGCATGAAAAAACAAGGACACTAACAACGACTCATTATGACTTTGCACAACATGACACAGTGGCCGATGTCCTGTTGCTCGTCATCCTCCTTAAGATGACATCTTGACATCTTATAAGATGACTATAAGATGACATCTCGTCACTTCATTCAATTATCCGTGGATGAGCAACACGCCATTGGCCACTGTGCCATGTTGTGCAAAGTCAATTTGTGCTCTGTCTCATGCTCTTCATGCTTCTCCTTGTGCCTTCTCCCTTTTCATCGTTTCTGCAAATGGGGTCCTGTACCTGCTGCTCTTGCCCAGAATGCTCATATTTCGCCTTGTTGACTTGCTTTTGCCTCTGCTTCACCTCTTCTTCTTCTCGCCATCCAATCCATCGAGTCCTCTTGACTTCTGCTTTGTGGCGTGGGATCAAGTCAAGAGGACTCGATGGACTGGATGACGAGACGGAGAAGAGGTGAATCAGAAGCAAAAGCAAGTGGGCGAGACAAAAGGTGAGTGTTCAGGGCAAGAGCAGCAGGTGTGTGACCCCCATAGGAGGAAAGATGAAAAGGGACGAGCAGGCAAAAGGAGGAGCATTACAAGCCCGACACAGATTGCAAATTATAAGAGAAGCAGTGCTGCATAACCCGGCGGTCGGCACCCCTTTACTGGTCGGCACCTACGGGACGGGAGTCATCAGCACCCCGCAAAAAAAGTTATATCTTTTCCAGAACCCCCAATAACCTTACCAACACCCCCATA